TCTTCAAAATACCTACCGTAAACTTGGTAGTATTGATACATAATAATGATTTCATTTTCTTGAGAAATTTAGGTAGATGGAAAGAGAGAGGGATGAGGGAGACGGAGCACTATCAAATACAGAGAGCATTGTGACTCGGGAACGTTTTTATCTATCCGTGGGCAAGTCACTTTGTCACGGAAAACGCCACCCTCGCAACTTACGCACAGAGTTGGCCAGCGCTGTCAGACATTCCCAATAGAAGGAGCAGACTGCACAGGATATGAACAAGGAATGGAAGCTGCTCAGAAAGTGTATTACACAAAACCCTAAATCTCATCGCAACTAGAGGAAAATACGTAAAGTAAAATGAGGTGACAATGATCTCACTTGTTCACAAACCAAGGAAGTTGGCTAAGAAAGTAACACATTTGGTGCCATCACAATAGAAAGTGTCCTTTTTTTTCTTTTCTTTTTTTGCGACACTTCCCCGGGCCGATCGCGACAGCAACGCTGCCGATGCTTCTACGTTGTTGCCACAATCGTTGTCCACAATAATCTTTTCTGTTGGAATGGACTGAAGCTCATATGTGGCCGCTTTTCAGGCCTGGTCCTTCCTCCCTGGATACTTCGATATTAAAACTGTTGCCTTTCCCTCACTATCATAAATTGTTCCGGAAATGTTTCACACAGCGAGACTATTCCCAAATGATGATCGTTACGATTAGCCAACACAGGAGCAGATGAATAGTAACATGTACAGGAATGTACTGTCATTTTAGCTGAAGATGATGAGTGATATATATAGTGGCCGCAAAAAACATGTTTATATATTCACCACAAAACAAAGTTTTCATTGCGTTTCAAGAAGAATATTCATCCAGCTAAGTCAGGCAACTCTGCGCGGGCGGAGTTTTGTTGCAAGTATAGGCAGCCAGTGGTCCTGACTTCTCGCTAAAAGTTTTATTTTACGGCCAGTGAGCGATTGTCTAGATCAAAAGTCGGCAACCTTTGTTACGAGTGCCAGACTTGGCACGCAGAGCGCTTGTCTTTGGCACGCTGTGTTATTCAGAGGTGGAGAGAGGGAGAGAGAGAGAAAGTCTTATGGTCAGCTATATTTTAAAATCGAAAAATATTGGAATCTCCTGCGAATGATCATGCTGCCTCAATATCAAGTTCCCTGACACCACTGTCTGATAAATTCAGTTGCATGAAGAAAGTAGCCTTGGAATGGTTATCAGGATTTGGATCTAAATATTAATGTGTCAGATATTTTCACACATGCAACATACCCTCACTGCAGGCTTACAATGGATTACTCAAAGGGTTGTTTGAAGCTCAGTGTGTCCAGATATTAATATGGAGATTATAAATCTAAAATTATAAAACAAACACATTTCTTGTTACAAAGAATACGAAATGCTACAAAAATATTACATTTATGTTATGCATGTGCAGGAAAATACATTCGGGTATACAGTGCTGAAAAAATTGGCACGCAAAGTTATTAATAAGAAAGCATGAACTATAAACTGGCACACAATGTTCAAAAGGTTGCCGGCCCCTGGTTCAGATGAATCTTCTGGTCATTAATTCATCAACAAATAAGAGCTTCACTAGATGCACATTAGGAATTAATGTATCAGAGTGGCCAGATAACTTGGCTCTTCTAAACCCTATAGAACACATATGAAACCTCATGAAGCACAAAAGGCCAGACCTAACAACACCAAATATCTGCTTGAGACGCTGTGGAATATAGCAGTTGGCTCTCCTATATTGTTGATGTTGCTGAATCCATGCCAGAGTTGCCGCAGATAATATTTCAGCGGAAAGATAACATGATCAAGTAATAATTGTAGAGAAAAATATTTTATTAGTCAAAGAAACAGTTCACGTTTGATTCTCCTCCGAATGTCAATGTGAACTTTTTTGTGTGTGTTTTGTGTGCTATTTCATTTTGTGGGTATTTCATTAGCAATTTAAAAGTATTCGTTAGCAAGTGAATGAAATTTATATATTAAAAATTGGTAAAGCCCGTTGTATCCAAAATCATTCTGCTATCGTTTCGGTTTCACAAAGGTGAATACAGAAAATAGATTAAATGAAACTATCAGATATTTCAACGATTTCATTTCATATTAATTTCGACTGTATTACCAGCGCAATTCCTTGTGCATCTATTTTTCTCTTTTTTTCGCATAGATTATCAAACTAAATTTAAAAGTTGATGGAGAATTTTCAGTAGGATTTGAAACCACACCAGAAACTTTCAAGCGCTTTGGCAAGAAATCGTGCTTAGACTTTAATGGCCATATTCATAAGGACGTAGTGACGTACATTGGCAATCAGTATACTTACTTATTTTACCAATACTTTTAATTATTTAGACACCTATCTTTTGAGAGCATGTTTTTCCTCTCATCCTAGCACCGTATTTTATTGAACTTGACTGCTGACATAAATGTATGTGAGTGATACGGGAATATAACCAATATAACCAATCAGTTCACATCAGATATTACTTTCTTAAACATAACAAGCTTTAATGCATGGTGCAAGGATGGTAAATAAATAAATTAGGCGCCAAGACTAAAATAAGCAAGCAAGCATCATGTTCATGTTCGTAATCTTCGGCTAAAGTGATAATAAAAGGTCAGTGTATGGTACTGGATATAAAATACTGATGAACTGCTGAAAATAATTAGATATGTACATCTATAATTGAATGAATGACGAAGTATATTTACATATGGACCATTAAATATATTCACTGAAACTATCTTCTCACGTATGCCAGCGCCGCGACCTGGACTCCCCTTCTCACCCACTTTGGCCGCTACCACTTACATGACCGATGTACGATGTGGGGGGAGTGGCCAAGTGGTACTCGCATCACCTTAATTAAAGGTATGAAGAAGGTGCAGATCAGATCTCCAAGGGACACTGACCTGGAATTGTGCCTGTATTAAACGAAATGTAGCGAGTACTACCAAAGACTATCTACGTATATAGTCTTTGGTACTACGTTACTGTTACCTTATTGGCTCCTCTATAATTGTTTCGATATCTTATACCGTTTTCTCCTTAATAGATGTGTAGATACACTCTGTACACTATGTTTTCAAAACACAATGTAGAAAATTCAGTATATTAACCGCTCTGAAAAAACATGAGTTACTCTAGCGAATACGGTTTGTACGTAAACAATGACCAGGAAAAAAGGTAGGTTATTGCTAACGTCATGGTTATGTCGAGTCACGTTCTTCTCAGCAGGGGAGTATTTATATATATTTTTTATGAATTTGGATTTTTCGACAGAGATTTCATGGTGATTTCCGTTAATTCAATTCAGATCACGTGCGCTATTGTTTTTATTTTGATTTGTGATTTTTTAGACTGATTTTTGCAGTTCATCGATTCACTGCTGCTGTTATTTGACTATGTATCGTATATGTTTTTTTTTTTTTTTTTTTTTTTTTTTTTGTCATTGCATGTTTGTGCTTTAAATATATACATTGGCGAGTTCCAGGTAAAATACATAGCACTAACCAGTTACTCTCAGAGTATACGGGAAGGGGGGGGGGGGGGTACCCGCCCACTAGCCAGGGTATTGGCTGCTCTCGCGGTTGCATTGTCACTAATGGCGAGATGGCAAACCACTAGCATGTCACTATCAGAAGCCATCCAGTTAATTTACTAATTCACTATCAATTACAGTTCAGTATAGTGACACTATCCTCCTGGTAAGTTAGTAACCTCACACAAATTACTGGGCATCAGAGCGGCAATAAAACTGTTCTTTAGTATTACGTTGCGTACAAAACTTACGGACGGCAGCGAGCATTCCAGCATGAGGGATAAATGTAAATGTTTTATTAACATGATATACATTTATCCCTCATGCTGGAATAAAGCATTATTATTTATATAAAATATATAAATAATATAATAAAACATAATAAATATAATAAAACATAATAAGATATAATAAATATAATAAAACATAATAAGATATAATAAATATAATAAAACATGAGAATATAATAAAACCCATGAGAATACTGGTAGTCGTTCTCGGTGCCCATTTTCACCTGGGTCATTAAATCAGACTTGTACCATGGACTCGTCATACCCCCCAAAAAAAGTTGGGGTACCGTGATAGGACAAGGAGTGGCCGAACAATCCCATACAACATTAAAATATACGTATTGCGTAATCCCAGTGAACGGAAGTGTAATATGAGACGCCATAACCTCTCTTGTGCGGACTTGGCTGAATACAGAGACACATGAAGGAAAAGAAACGAGGGATAGAAAAGGAAGTGGAAGAGGAGAAGAAAAGCAAGGGGGCAGGAGAGAGGCGGAAAAAAGAGAGGGGGGAGAAGTAGGTGAAAGACAATTGAAAAGGAGCTATAGTGCAAGACATTCCAAAGGGGGTGGGGATTATATAGCAAGAGGATGCCAAGGATCTACTCTAGGGTGTGTGCAGAATATGATCTTTTTTAGCATTCCGGTATTCAGATTATTACCTAAGTCATTCATATGTTTATTTAGTGTTGCTAGAACCATTCATATGTTTATTATTATTATTATTATTATTATTATTCATGTATTACTTTCTAAAGTGACGCAAAATACATTAAAAAAGGGGCGGCCGCTCTGTGTGTGTGTGTGTGTGGATATACTTTTTTCTTCTACCTTTTACATTGGGTATTGATGATCTGTAATTCATGATTGTATCATGATATACTTATAACATCCTAAAAACGCTCTGAAGCCTGCTTGGAAACGCCAATGTATAACTGCAATGCATTAAAACGCCAATCCGTGCGTGCAATCGGTAAAATTTAAAATTAGGATTGAGAGTCTTCAGTCTCTAGCTTATATATTGCGTGGTGTTGCAAGTTATTATACTCATTGTGGTATCATGGTATACAAACCAAGTAGGATAACGAAAAACCTGGAGGCTGAGGGGGAATGGGAGAGGTTGGGGAAGGGAGGTGTGGGGGCGGGCGGTACAAGAGGCAGCGTACAAATAAAAGAAGCGCGGAAGAACCGGGAGCAGTGTGTTTTCAGCCCCACAAGATGTCGTTAGTGTGTAGGAAGGCGTTGGTTCTTGCGTTCACTATCTCCGGGTGTAGCAGTGGAAGTCTTGATACGGGATATGTCGATGCGACAGCGAAGCCCTTGGCCCCTCGTTTGCGTGAAGGAGATGGATTTCCTCGAGTGTCTAATGGGAAAATGCTCATCCCGACCTTCGCATGTGAGTATGCAGAGCCGGTGATGAGTTAACCTGAGTAATATGAGTAGAGGAAGATCTTTGTATGATGTGTGAGGAGTAACTTTGTCGGTACCTAATGCTACTTCGCTTAGCAAGATGGGATGCGTTAGTACTGAATGGTGTGGTTGTTAATATCGTACACTTAACGGATTCTTCACGCTCATCGTTGTAATGATATAATGTAAGAGACAATTGTATGATCTTTAAAAACGTTTCCAATCGTAAGAAAGTTATCTCAAACGGAAACATACACTAATACGTACGAACACGTTTACATTACTACGCGTTCACGACTGAAATTTGTTATACATTTTCTCTTCAGTTCTAAGCATCAACCTCGAGGTGAAAAGTTGCCAGGCAGACGAACAGTGCCACAAATATCTGCCAAACCTAAATGTTGCTCTTGCTAAGAACAGTAGTGTCCCTTCTGCTCCCTATTGCAACAGTAAGTACGAAAAGTATGCTGCATACTACGAAGTGAATCTAATGACGTATACAAGAACGAAGCGAAACTGATATCCAATGATGCGTATATCCTCTTTATAGCATTACGACAGCATTTGCACAGGAATTGTTGAACCCTATTTATTTTTTTCTTTTTTTTTTTTTTCCTTTCAGAGTCAAGTAACTCATCTTTGGGACGCTGTACATGCGGCAAAGGGAAATGTGTCTCTTATACAAAGGAGTTCGGAAGAGGAACAATACTGTATTATTGCGGGCCCTGTAGTAAGTTTATTTGTGTAGTTGTTTTTCTTTTCTTTTCTTTTCTTTTCTTTTCTTTTTTTTTGGGGGGGGTCGACTGCCCAAATCCACAATGCTATTAATAAAGGTATAGCAATCATGACCATCACGGCTCTGTTTAGCATTATCATTACTTTGATCAGAATAGCATAGAACTTCTCATGCAAATTAAAAAAAAATCCTATACTAAGACCCCGCCACACACTATTCATTTTGATTAATCAGTTTTTTTTATTATCATTCACTGTTCTTTTCTCATATCATTATTATCATGTCTTATTAATCCTACTCTCTCTTTAGGCTACGTTGGTGCGAGATGTAGCAACGACTCTCCTTGTCAACATGAGCTTGCAGAATGCAGAGACAACTTCTGCGCTTGCAAGAATGGAGGCGATTTCTTCGAGTTTTCCTATTGGTAAATGCGTTGGTTGAGAGAGAGAGGGAGAGAGAGAGAGAAAGAGAGAGAGAGAGAGAGAGAGAGAGAGAGAGAGAGAGAGAGAGAGAGAGAGAAGAGAGAGAGAGAGAGAGAGAGAGAGAGAGAGAGAGAGAGGACTCTTGTCAATATGGCAGATATAGAAAATGCATTACAATGAATTGCTTCATTCTTCATTCTTCGTTATTGACTCTTCAATGCACGAAAATACACAAGCACGCACACATTTCTTCTATCTCTAACATGCACACACACACACACATTAAACCCAACAACCCGTCATAACGTATATAATATACTAATATCGCCATTTCCTTGTCCGCAGTGAAGTCCCACACCTTGGTTTCGAAGTGGCAGTGTACATGGTCATTGTCGTGTGTATTGTCTTTAGCATCTGCCTCGTGCTTGCTTCCTCGTATGGAATCATTAACATGTGAGTATTCTCAGGGGTCTACGGTGAGGATTTATTGGTAGAGGGAATAAGAATGATAGTAAAAATAAGTTACATATGTAGGGGTCGGGGTTGGTACTTTTAGGGTCATATTTTTTTTAGCTATACTAGAAATGGCGTCATTTAGGGGTTCCCTCCACCGGTGGGTGACGGAAAAGGAAGGAGGAAGGTACAGGGAGATAAGGAGGACGCGCGGGATAGATAGATGGATGGGTGGAAAAATTGATAGGTAAATGGGCAGAAAGAGAGAGAGAGAGAGAGATGGGTAGTCATAGACATGAATATGGATTTGTGGAGGATTATTATTTTTAAGGCAATGCACACTAAAAACTAATTTCAATTGCACAAATATGTAATGCATAAATAATTGTGGAAAAATAGAAATAATAGGCGAAAGGCTGGTATTCTTAACAAAAGACAAAAGACATCTGTCCAAATATGAGGAACACTAAAATAAAACTTGGTGTGCTAGGGACTTGCAAAACTTGGAAATGAGTGTGTGTTTATATGCATGATATTTTCTTTCTTTCTCTGTTCCTCCCCCCCCCCCCTCTCTCTCTCTCTCTCTCTCTCTCTCTCTCTCTCTCTCTCTCTCTCTCTCTCTCTCTCTCTCTCTCTCTCTCTCCTCCTCCTCCTCCTCCTCCTCCTCCATCCTCTACCCTCTCCCTCATCCTCTTCCTTAAATTGTTTTCTTAAAACTAATATATTTATTTATTTGCAGGCATCAACTTCGAAGACTCCCTGGGCTTTTGAGGTACCTACAAACTCAACAGCAGTGTGAAGTGAGTTTTACTCGTAGTAATGTCTTTTCCGAGTAGATTTATGAACTTGATACATAGCCTGCCTTACTGAATTTATTTATTGAATTTCATTAAATTCTGTGTTATTACACTCTCCGTAAATATTTCTCAAGCGGGTCGGACATCTTGGGAATGAATACAAAGAAAAAATAATATATGAAAATAATCAATCTGTTTATGTTTACGGACATCTGAGTTCCTCAAAAGTAGGCTGTTTGTGATAAAAAAATAATGAAATATTTTACTTTTCTGTTTTGAGTATTACCAGGACCAGAAAAGATTAGCAAATTCTGTTCTAGTAAGATAAAATTCGATAGTGGTGTGATTTTTAAAGAAAATACTCAATATCAGTTATTATTGTCAGACACGATTGTTTTTCATCTTTTTTGTTTTCATTTTACCTAGAATAATGTAAAATAAAATGTAGCAAAGTATGTTACAAAAATTATTGATTAGCGAGTACGAATTTATAATTACTGTCTGCTGTTCTATTTCAAGCCTGCTACTGAGGACCTCCCTCCAAAATACGATGATTTATTGGGCAAACTGCCTACTTACGAAGAAGCAATCTTTACGATAGAGAAGGTGAGTTCAGAGTAATTTTATGATTGTAACTCACGCTGGTTATAAAAAGGTTAACTCTTTCAACTCAAGTAATGTAAGTAGATCACAGAACCACAGAGATGACAAACTAAAAAAAATATTTTTTTAACAGTAAAGTACGTAACAAAATGTTGCTGATGTTGATAACGATGACAATTATAAATCATAATAATAAACGCATCCTTTTCCCCGTTGACCATTAGAACCCCTGCGTCGACCTGTGCCACAGGAATCTTGCCTTCGACGCCGAGGAGGAAACGGATTCACGTTACGGCGTTGACATCGAAGCGGCGGAGCGTGCAAACCAAGCCGACCAGACAGAGAATCATTCAGTTCCTACACAACCGCGCCGAGCACAAAATGACGTTAAGAATCCCCAATCAGATGTAGAGAGGCCGGCTAATCCTCCTCCGTACCAGGCACAAATCGTCGTTAAAAATCCCCAGTCAGATGCAGGGAGATTACCAAATCCTCCTTTGCGTCATGCAGAATCCGACGTTAAAATCCCCCAATCCGATGCAGAAAGGCTGGCTATTCCTCTTGGATTTAGTGTGGATAATGAGCTAATCAATCCACAATCCTCAGCACGATCTCACTCGCCCCGACAGCATACTGAAACTCCAATCCGGGAAATACTCACCAAGCACACAAATTCTTGAAAAATATATATATATATAATTATATATATAAATATATATATATATATATATATATATATATATATATTATATATATATATATTCTTTTCGTCTTCTCTCTTTCTTTTTTCTTTCTTTCTTAGAACTATTCATAAATTCTCGATCATTTCATGCGCTACAATTCATGAATTTATTCTCATACCTATCATTAAATTATATGACCACAGTACAGTGAAGTTTCAATGATTACCTTATTATGTAGGTTAAGGGAAAGGAAAGGATAAAAGATGTAAGAAAAATAAATTCAGATATATGCTAACTAAATTCCCGTTTATATATATATATATATATATATATATATATATATATATATATATATATATATATATATCAGATAGATAGATAGATATAGATATAAGTATCTATCTATCTATCTATCTATCTATATATATATATATATATATATATATATATATATATATATATATATATATATATATATATATATATGATAAACAATAAAACCAGAGATACCTACTAACCACATAGCCTATGCAAAACAATCCCTGCAACTTTAAGTATCATAATAAATTATTAGTGTTCATATAGCACTATAATATAAATAATTATGCCATATTTCTTTAACAAATGGGTAAATCAATACACTTTTACCACGACGCTTAACTGTTTTACATGGTCAGATTGTATGGAGCATGAATTATAAAGCAGACATAAAGACGAATATATTATCTCATATACCATATAAACAGTTTTTAAGACATAAAAAAATAGCAAAACCATGCGCAGTGATCAAGAAATTCCAGTAATTAACGAATGGAGAAAGAAAGAGCGAAAGAGACAGACAAAGAAAGAAAGGAGGCGGAGAAGGAGGGAGACAGAGAAATAATGCTGGAAGGGAAAGAGAGACAGAAAACAAAACGTACTGAAGCAAGCTGTCGAGATTGGAAAAAAAAACAATGATCCCATTATATTTCAGCATCCCACCCAGAATTTACAGTACCACCACCAAAGTAAATAGGAAGGCAATTGTGTTGGATCCACCAAACTCCACAAGGACAGAGGTTACATATTGGGTCGCATGAGTGGAGAAAAGAGCAGGACATTTAATATCAAATCTAGTGTGGGAATAACCGGTGAAGAATAAAGAGGATAAGAATTTACGTCTACATTCGTCTTGAAAAAAAAGCCAATGAAACCCGCATCCTGTTGTTTATCTTAAGCATTTACTACATCATGGTACCAAGGAAAAATCTTATAGATGATAAAAGTAAGTCAGATGTAGATAATGTATTCAAGGCTGAAAGAGCATCGTGAAAAGTATTTATAAAGATAATTTCACGTTAAGAATTATTTCGTGTTAATGCCGCTAATAAAAATCATACATATTTATCTATCTATATACATACAAACATATATACATATACACATACATATATGCATACAGTAGAAAATTACCATCTATCTATTTATTGTATGTTTTAGTGTAGATTTTACAGTGGCTGACATTTGAATTTTATTTTTAAGACATTATCATTATGTACAAAGACTACCAGTATACCAAATTATAGTTTGCTCTTTTTCACAATATCATCTACCATGGCACTAAGTCCTCAGCGATAACATTATTATACTATTGATTAAATAACACTTGATGGTTGTACTTCTACTGCTTTTATCGTTATTACTATAATTCATATTATCACCATCACCACTAATCGTCATCATCATCGTCACCATCATTATCATCTTCGTTTCCATCATCATATGAATTCACCATCACTGTCATTGGAATCATTATTATCAACATTATCACCCTCTTTATTACCATCGTTATCGCCGCCATCATTATCATTGTTATCGTCATTGTAACCATCATTAGTAATCATCACCATCATTTTATTGTCATCTTCGTCTCCATCATTATCATCATCGCCAACAATTGTCATCGTCACTGCCATTGACACCATCACTATCATCATCGTCTCCATCATTATTGCCATTGTCATCGTCACCATCATTATCATCATTACTTTCATCGTTATCGTCACCATCATTATCATCATTACTTTCATCATTATCATCATCGTCTCCATCGCTCTCACCATCGTCTTCATCTTCGTCTCTATCATTATCATCACCATCATTGTCATCGTCACCAGTCTTATCACCATAATTATCCTAATCGTCATCATCATTAGTATCGTCACTATCATTACTATCGTCATCATTATCACCTTTAACATTATGATTATACTAAATATGTAATAAACAATAACAATGGATCTTGTAAAACGAAAACTATAAAAAATATAATTCATCCTTATGATAAAACCACATCAACATTTCTAATTCACATCCACATACACGTCTCCTTCCCTAATTGATAAATATTATAATAGTGACACTGAATAATCAAATAAATGAATAAAAAATATAAATAAATACAAATAACAGAACTTTCCTTCAATCACTCATGTATCCCATTCATTATATCAGTGAGAATTTCAGAGAAATTACACACGCAAACAATGATAATAATGATAATAAATAAATGAATAAATCTTTCTCAACAAATAACTTCTTCACAGAAAACGTATAACATGCAAAGCCGGAAGGAGAAGGTAAATCCAATTCCATACCGCTCCATTACGAGTTTTCGTCTTGGTGTATCTACATCTCTTGCTCTATGTCATTTTGTCTTTGATGGAAATTATGTTTTCTTATTCCTCTGTTATCATCATTTTTTTCATTATCTGCCATTACTGCTCACAGACTCGAATTCTTTATTTTTGCTGTGTCCTCTTACCACCTACTCCTCAGTAAATTATGATATTAACCTATTACAAAGATTGAATTGCTGTGTTAAGAATAAATTGTAAAATTTTGAGTCCTATTAATATAAATATGATATTATTACCTCCTAATTCGTATTTTGTTAGATGTGGGAGTGTTTGATCTACGGTTGACATCGTAACGCGTTGTATGTTACGTGTTACCTTTTACCCTGGTCTGTTTGTGATTGTATCTATATCTATATCCATATCTATCTATCTAAATATATCTATCTATATGTCCATGCATTTATACATCTATATCTATATCCACATTTATTTATACATCTATATCCATATCCACATCCATTTATAGATCTATATATCCACATCTATTTATACACCTATATCCATATATATGTCTGTCTATATCCATGTGTATATTTATACCTATATATATATATCCATACCTCTATCTATATAACTATCTATCTAGACAACAGAAAAAAACAATACCCCATCCTTCCCCCAGCACGAACACACACACACACACACACACACGAGAAAATCACTTCAGAGCCCAACATGTAAATTTAAGCTATTATGTTTATGTGCGTACAAAAGTTTATGTGCGCAATATGAGTATCATATAGGGGTATTTTGTAAATATTTATCAGAGTGACTATAGATTAAGACTAAAATGGAGACTATTGTAACTGCAAGTACGGTGTGTGTCTGTGTGTGTGAGAGAGTGTAAATGTGTGTGTGTGTTTTTTAACTTAAACTTATTTAATAATGGGTTTCGCTTTAAACAACAAGCATCACTCTCTACAAGGAATGCAAATTATATAACTAAAACGTAAAAAAACATGTCTGCCCAGCTGAGCGGGGATAAGTTATTCAGACACACGCGTTGTCGTGGTCAGATGCAGGCAAGATACCAAAAATATATATCAATGATAATCAATATTTGATTAAATTAATAGAAAGATGTGTAATTAATAGAAAGATGTGTAAATAAATAAGAGGTAAAACATAGAAATTAACCAACAGATTATTATATAAAATAGATGAGATAAAATGAAATTGTGTGTTGGAGTCTCCAAAACAAAGGACAATATTCATCACAAAGAATGAGTTTTATTTGTAAAAGTGTTTTTTGTTTGTTTCTTTGTTTTTTTTAGTTAAGTTGAGGAGATTCGATTGCTATTCATTATTTGTTATTTGGTTACTGAATGTGATCAATGATACATCTAATTATAAAAAGAAAATCATTCAATAAATTGTTATGATTATCTGTTTCATTATACAGAAATGGTTTAACGGATCATAATCTTCTATACATTACTTAAATCTGCATTTTATAGATTATCAAGACATGTGTAACAGAATCAGGTTAGATCTAAAATTGGTACGAGCATCTGATTCCTCTTTTCAAAAAGTCTGTCTTAAAAGATGTTTATTTGATTAATTGGTTTAGTTGTTGTGCTGGCAAGCTTGTAGTGGAGGTTTTCATTATAAACGAAACTCAATGAGGAAGCAATTTCAGTACCCTCCTCCTAACTTTTACCCTTGCCATCCCTTCCCCTCCCTCCCATCCTCTTTATATTCTCCTTCCTTGCTTAGACCAATTCAAAGGGCAGTCACGTGACCACTAGTTTAGGGTCAGTTCTAGAGTTCTAAAATTGTGTTTATTTGATTCTGTTGATTGAGATTCTGTTCCGCGATTAATAACAGTTTTTAATAACAGAGGAGATACAGAGTGAAGCATAATAACAATAACAGAGATTAATAAGAGAGATTAATGATTAATAACAGAGATTAATAACTAATTAATAACAGAGATTGATAATTAATAACAGAGCGGATACAGAGTGAAGCAGAGAGAGAGGGGGGACTGAGTTGGAAAGAGAAATAGATGTATATATGTCAAATAAATTGATTGGTAGAAAGAGAGAAACAAGGGGAGGTAGACAGAGAAACTGAACCAGTGAGAGAGAGAGAGAGAGAGAGAGAGAGAGAGAGAGAGAGAGAGAGAGAGAGAGAGAGAGAGAGAGAGAGAGAGCAGAGACACAGACAGACCGATATATATATATATATATATATATATATATATATATATATATATATATATATATATATATATATATATATATATATATATATATATATATATATATATATATATATATATCAACTGTATTAGGAACACAATGATTGCTGTCATCATTATTAGTAGTAGTAGGCTTGTGGTAGTGATAAGAATCCAGTAGTAAAACTAGCATAGTACCATTATCCTTGTCATCACTTTCATCACTATCATCATCATCATTAACGCTTTTCTCATCACTATGCTTACCCTTCTCTTCACTGCAACAAGAAATTATTAGCAAATCGTTATTTTCACTACCGAGTATTTACCTCTGCAAGTATAATTTTGATATGTTTTTTTAATCTTACCAAATGTTATTTCGCACCTGGAGGTAAAAAGCTATATTAATGCTAATTAGATGTATGATTAGAATTCGCATTTGCTTTTTAATTTGAACTTATATAGGATTTCCTGCGATTTATATATATATATATATATATATATATATATATATATATATATATATATATATATATATATATATTATATATATATATAATATATATATATATAATATTAACCTACCAACACAAAAGCAAAATCACGATGACTAAATATAAGCATATATTCTTGATATCATTGTATAATCTATCTTATAATTCCCAGTATAATAGATTCAGAAACTCATTATGAACACACATTGAACATCTTCTTAACTAGTTTCACAAATCTCCCGGTTAATTACCTTTTCTTGCTAATTATACTTGCTTATCAGACGCACAGATGCAGTTTCTCTCTCTCATTAAAAATACCAATCTATTGACTTCGTTGCAAATGCGAGAAAATTCAAGATGCAGTTTGATCTTGGCGACTTCCTTGCGATACTGAATGTCTATTAAGTTGCAGGAATAACGGATATATTTCATAATGATATAGGAATCGATAGCCATTGCTGTAGATCGATAATACGAGTTTCAGATAAGTGTTAACCTTCTAGTGATATCGTATCGTATTGTGTGTTATCGTACAGTGGTGAAATTTCGTACTTGTTTTATTGTAACATAATATGATATGGTTTTGCGTGCTCTAATGTGCTTCTTTTGTGATATATTGCGTTAATATCGCATTATTTCTTATTCTATCGTTATCGTATACATTAAGATTTTGTGTCAAATAGTAATACCATTT